ACCCTCCTACACTGCTGGTGGGAATGTAAATTAGTTCAACCATTGTGGAAAGCAGAATGGAGGTTCCCCAAAAAGCTCAAAATAGACATACCATTTGACCCAGGAATTCCACTTCTAGGAATTTNATGCACCCCTATGTTTATCGCAGCACTACTTACAATAGCCAATAAATGGAAGCAACCTAAGCGTCCATCAGTATATGAATGGATAAAGAGGAAGTGGTACCTATTCACAATGGAATATTATTCAACTGTAAGAAGAAAACAAATCCTACCATTTGCAACAACATGGATGGAGCTGGAGGGTATTATGCTCAGTGAAATAAGCCAGGCAGAGAAAGACAAGTACCAAATGATATCACTCATATGTGGAGCATAACAAAGAAAAACTGAAAGAACCAAACAGCAGCAGACTCACAGAACCCTAGAATGGACTAACAGTTACCAAAGGGAAAGGGACTGGGGAGGATGGGTGGGAAGGGAGGGATAAGGGCGGGGAAAAAGAAAGGGAGCATTACAATTAGCATGTATAATGTAGGGGGTGCATGGGGAGGGCTGTACAGCACAGAGAGGACAAGTAGTGATTCTACAGCATCTTACTATGCTGATGGACAGTGACCAGTGGGGTATGTGGGGAGGACTTTGTGAAGGGGGGAGCCTAGTAAACATAATGTTCTTCATGTAATTGTAGATTAATGATAACAAAATAAAAAATAATAATTACTTCTGGCAAGTAAATTGTAAAGACAAAGCAACGTTTAAAAACAAACAACTAAGATCAACTGTTCAAAACCTCCTAAATATAAAAAAAGTCTTTTAATTTCAACTGCTTGATGAAAGTAGAAGTTTCTAAATTGTAATCAGAGACCAAAAATCAAAGCATAATAAGCCTATTTTTTTATTAAGACAAGCTCCTGAAAAATAAGATACTTTGATTTTATGTGGCAATCTTTAAGAAAAAAATCTCAATTACACAACTCAAAAAATCACACAACTAGAAGCTATTCCTGGGATCATTTTTAATTCATACTTCAGAAAAAAAAACTTAAAATATTTACCTGTGAGCATTAAAAATCAAATACTTAATCAGGTTTATATTTACTGTTTGCAAAATAAAATTCTAATGTACTGATACAGAAAAAAAAATGACAATAAAATCAGTAACAATAAAAAGAACACCCCAGTAGATATGACTGTAGCAGGAGTACAGAATCTCATCAGATTTCATTACAAGCTCTTAACTGTGTGTCATTTGAAAAGAGTATGTATTCAGTCTTGAATAACCTTGATGCAAGTTGCTAATGACCACCTTTACTACGATGATACATTAATAAATTTTCAGAAAACTATGGCTAAGTTCCAGCTGAACAAATAAAATTAAATACTTCAAACATCCTGTTGTTATCTGGAATGCAAACACAACCCTTACTTCCTTTATAGAAAATTCGATATAATTCTAACTAAATAGGTAGCTTTGATTATGTAATGCATGTAACAAAACAAAATTTTAAATTAGAAAATTATTATTTCAACTATTTCAAAGATCATGACTATCTTAGTTCAACACAATGGGTCAAATTTAGAGGTTATTGAATAGAAATATAAGGGTGAAGAAAATAAATTTGAAATTTTGCTTCATTCAAGGTAACTTTTATCATTAGTCATCAAATTTTAGTATTAGTTTATAACTCAATCAAAAGGGCCAGGACAAAAACCAAATACTATCACCCTGTGAGTTAGAAAGAGACCCCTTCTGAGCCAACAAATAAGAGTAAGTCACCTTTTCCTTCTCTAGGATGTATTTTAGCCCTACTTGTTCTCTCAGTCGGGCACTTTTGCGTAGGGCACACTCAGCCTAACAAACTATACCTGGTAACTCTGTACAAGCAAAAAGCTTCAGAAAGGATTTCCCTGCCCCCTTGCAAGTCTGAGAAAGTACAGAAGAGTTCAGTCCTCCATGACTTAAGAAATTCGTGCAAGATGAAGGAGGGAGGATGCAGGGAAGGGAACACAAGGAAGAAGAAAGGCTCCTCCTCTTATTTGCTCGCCTTCTCCTTGCAATGAATAAGCTTCACAATTATTTATATCCCATTTTACTCCAAAATTATTTAATGTGACTTACAGAAATATTAGTACAATAGAATGCTTTCAAAATACAAATTAGTATGAATAAAGGGAAAATAAGAGGATGCAAGAAAGTGCTTCAATAGTTTAGGCAAGAATGAAGGGTCTCATCTAAGATTGTAGCAGTAGAGTCAAAAATATGGAGATGAATATGAATGAGATAAAATGAATGAAAAATTTTTTTACTTCATGGCTGGGCAAAGAAGAGCTAGAAATAAAAAAAATGGAGAAGTAAAATCTACTGGACTTTATAGCAAGTTCTATACAGAGGAAGTGGGAAGGCAAAAAACAAGGAAATCCCAAAGATTGGCAAAAATGTAGAGCAGGAAATCTCCTATGCACTTGGTGGTGCCAACTGGTATAAACACTGTATAAAAACATTAAACAATACATAGTAAAATCAAAGCTGTATGCCATTTCCATCACAGCAATTCCACTTCCAGATACAGAATCCAGAGAAGTTCTCACCCATGTGCACAAGAGGTCATATACAAAAATGTAAATTTCAGCACTGTTTGTATAGTGAAATACTGGAAAAATTAATTAAAAGGTTGTGGTATGTTTATAAAACAAAATAGTATAAACCAGCTAAAATGAATGAACTAGAGCTACACATATTAACATGGATATATATCTTTAGTATATAAACACAACCACCTGAGGAAAGAAAAAGTTGTATTTACTTCTTATCAATTTTAAGACAGAGCAATCCTAAATAAATCAGTGAAAAAAGGAAATGGGTATGTCTTACGAATGATCAATGTAACAAGTCTCTGGAGGACAAAGAGACTGAATAACAAAAAGCACGTCTTAGGTTTAGTGGGGGGGGGATTAAACAGTTTTTGGTTTTTACAAATGTAAGACTTGAAACCATAAAACTCTGGAGAAAAAATAGGTAGTAAGCCTTGGATGTTGGTTTCAGCAAATTTTTTCTGCGTATGTGTCCCCAGGCAAGGGAAACAAAAGCCAAAGTAAACAAGTGTGGGTACATCAAACTAAATGGCTTCTGGGCAGGAAATGAAACCCTCTAAAATACAAAAAGGAAACCTATTTGTTAGGCAGGAAATTACTATCAGCGGGGTGGAAAAAGAAAAAGGCCAGACAGTCCACTAAAAAGACCCAAAATTAATCAATTAAATCTCAAAAAACCAAGAGCAACTTAATTACTTCTTGGCAAATAGTGAATCTGTGGCATCTTATTACACTGATGGACAGTGACTGCAGTGGGGTATGATGTGGGGGGTAGGACTCATGCGTTAATGTAGTAACCATTGTTTTTCCATGTGAAACCTTCATAGGAGTGTATATCAATACCTTAATAAAAAATTTAAAAAAAGAAACTTACCTGTTTAACTTCCTGGGTGTTACAATGCAATCTTATCTTTAAGATGGGATGCTTCCTGCCTTTTAGTACGTTGTTTGTGGCTGGGCTTACTTGCCATATTAATTGCCCAGGTTATGTATCACTTGATTAGGGGATGGAGGAGGAAAAGCAGCATCTGGGCAAAGTTAAAGATAAACTGGGCCTTTTATCCAGCTGAACTAAAAGTTACAACATCCTCATTTAATTGACACAAGGAAGTCATGGGCTACATGGAGGCATTTTCTTATCCGGGGGAAATTTAAACAAACATTCCAGGCCGGGTTACTCCTGGCTTTTTATTTAACTAATCTTCACTGAAGGCTTATACTCCTAATTTGGTATTTGACTCTGACTTTGCTGAATTGTTTAATACGGAGGATTGGCGGGGGTCTTTTTCCAGAGGCCCTCACCCTACTCTGACTACACCCACTGTCCCTGTCGCAGAATCCCTGTGGCTGGTTATAATTTACTCAGCTGCAGATTACAAACCGAAATGACACAAAGATATGAATTTCTAAATACAATAAACTGCACTGTCAGTTCCCAGACCAAAGTAAAGAAACTTCATTCCCAAATAAAAAACACGAGAGTACCTCTTGAGAAAAATTTTAATCTTAAAGGCGCTGCCTCTGGGCGGCCTCTCGCCCACCGCCCCGCCGTGGGTCACACTTGAACCTCAGCCCTCCCGGCCCTCGCCCTCGAGGACCCCGCCGAGAAAATCCACACACGGCAAAACACCCACCGGCCTCCCCGTCTGCGCGGCCCGGTCCGGCCCCTCCGCCTGCGGCCCCCGCCAGAGCGGCGGCAGCAGGTCGGCGGCGCGGCCCCGGGCCGGGAGGATGCGCACCGCGGAGCGGAGAGCAGCCGCCCTCACCACCCGGCACGGACGGAGGAGCAGCGGCTTTGGCCTGCCCCTCCCCCGCACCCCGGCGAACTTCACCGGCCGCTCGCGCACCCGCTCCGCTCCCTCCCTTCCCGGGAGGCCCCTCCGTCGCAGCTCGCCAACTCCCAGCCCCCGGCCGGGCCCCGCGAGCTCACCACCCGCGTCGGCCGCTTCCCGGCCCCGCGGGCCACGCGCTGCCCGCCGAGCCACTCGCACGGCCGCCCCCTCGTCCGGGTCCCCCGCGCCCTCAGGCGGAGGCAGGGTTCCCGGCGCCCCGTCCGGGTCCCGCTGCGCCCCGCAGCCACGTACCTTCTGGCCCGCAGAGCCGTCGCTGATGCCTTCACCCTGAAGCAGGGCCCGCTCTGGACCCTCCACCGCAGATCCGCAGGAGCGGGAGCCGCTTCTCCGCCGAGTTCTCTGAGGTCCAGCGGGGGCAGCGACACCAAGTCCGGATCGGTGCCGCCCCCGCAGGCGCGCCGAAAGGACGGTGCAGCCGAGCACGGCGCGGGTTCCTCAGCATCTGGTCTCCGCCCAGCCCGCTGCGCGGACAGGACAGCGCGGGCAGCTCCTCCCGGCCGGCAGACCATACAACTGAGAGCAGCAGCAGCGGCTTCTCTCGGCGGCGCTCGCGATGCTACAGACTGAATATGGCGGCGGCAGCGCCTGCAGCTACTGCGCAGCCGCAAGACTCACGTGATCGGCGCTCTCGCCCAGTAGATGTCAAGAAATGGAAGCAACCTAAGTGTCATCAGTAGATGAATGGATAAAGAAGAGGTGGTACATATACACAATGGAATATCATTCAGCCATAAGGAGAAAACAAATCCTACCATTTGCAACAACATGGATGGAGCTGGAGGGTGTTATACTCAGTGAAATAAGCCAGGTGGAGAAAGACAAGTCTCGAATGATTTCACTCCTCTGTGGAGTGTAAGAACAAAGAAAAAACAGAAGGAACAAAACAGCAGCAGACTCAGAGAACCCAAGAATGGACTAACAGTTACCAAAGAGAAAGGGACTGGGGAGGATGGGTGGGAAGGGAGGGAGAAGGGGGAAAAGGGGGCATTACAATTCGCACACATAATGTAGGGGGTGGGGGGCTGGGGAAGGCAGTATATACACAGAAGACAAGTAGTGATTCTACAGCATCTTACGCTAATGGACAGCGACTGTAATGGGGTATGTGGGGAGGACTTGGTGATGGGGGGAGTCTAGTAAACATAATGTTGCTCATGTAATTGTAGATTAATGATACCAAAATAAAAAGAAGAAAAGAAAGAAAAGTTTCTAACACGGTAATTTGCTAATTTTTCCAAGAAGCAGTAGGAACTCTACCACTACAGCACAGTCATGCAGCACAGCGTGCCTGCTCCCAGTTCAGTAACAGTCAAACCCGAATATGTTGAAGGGTTTAGAAAACACCCGTCCTAATCTGCACACCCATTTCCCCTCAGAGAGCTCAACAGGAGCATGGGGGCCGTCTTCTCACACTCATCCCATCCTCCCCAGGGCTTTACTCTGACAAAGGGAAGCTCAGGCCCTCCCCTCCCACTGAGGCAAACACTATGCCGCAGGACACAAACCCCTCAGGCTCAGACACAAACTCACCTGGTCTCCCAGTGGGAAAGTCCAGCCAGCAGCTGCCACTGTGGGCAGAGGGGTCTTCCTGCCTCTCCGTCTGGCTCGCCCTGGTCCTGCGTCTAAGTGACCTGCATAGCAGTCCTGTGACCTGAGTTCACACGAGCCACCCTTGGCCTCACAGCATCAGGCAGGCCTTCCAGGCCATCTTGGCAGCGGTGGCCCCCTGCTGCCCTGACCAGCTCGCTCCTCTGCTGTGCAGGTGGGTGGGTGGATGCCTTAGTGCCATGAGCTCCCAGAACCCGTGGGCCCAGAGCCGGTTGCCAAGTATCTGATGAGCTGTCACCAGGAGCCCACGGAGGTGACTGAGGGGAACTTCCCTGTGGCAAGGCAGTGGGTGCAGCACTGGCACAGGGCATTGCAGCTTCAAGAGGCCATTTCTGTGACCACCCGGGCCCCAGTGCCCCACCTTTGGACTGGAGCCCCCTGAAGCAGGTGCTTGCCCAGGGGGCTGAGAGGGGACACCATAAGCAATCCTGGACTTGCCTCAGTGACTCTGAGGTCCACACCAGACAGTGGGCCCCACTGCTCCCTGGACAAACCACTCTGTGTGGGTAGGAGAGTAGGCAACTGGGCCCAGGTGTGCATGTCCCGGACGACAGCTCCACCTACTCTGAACCCATGCAGACACCCAGTGGCCACCCCAGGAAACACCCCCTGAAGAAAATAATGAAGAAAACACAAAGCTTTGAGATTCCATTAGGCTGTGGCCCCAGGAATGTGCACCGGCCAGGCCACACAGGGTTCTTCATCAGAGGACTGGAGACCACCACTGCCACAGCCCCAGAGAAGGTGGACCCCTGAGCCAGGGTGCTGAGAGCCCCCCTCAGAACCGGAGTCTGTCCTCTCCTGCCAGGACCCAGCCCTGTGAGGATGACGGGAGGAAGAGAGAGAGCAGGAAGGTGAGAAGGGAGCCCTCTGGCCTTCAAGCGCAGTGCTCAGTGGAGATCTAAACATCCAGAGCCATTCCATGTGCTCCTACAAAGCAGAGAATCCATAGGCACCCCTCCCAGCCCATCCTGTCCAGTCCAGGCTGAAACACATGTGCCTTTGCTTTTAAGCACGGTGTTACTTTCCATGTTTAGAACAGAATCCTTGAAAACTGCTTCTTTTCCATGACCTGAGGTAATGTGGCATACCCACTCTGATGGTTACATAGCCAAGTCTAATTATTTAAGGAGCCCTGATTTTAGAAATTTACAATAGGCAAATAAAGGCCACAATATGAAAATTTTACCTTAAAAATTGCTTTTACAAAAAGACCCTAAGTGTTGAGACTAGAGATATGCACCCATTTACCTATTGCCCAAACAGATGTGTCCATTTTAATGTGTCAAATATTTAAGAAAATGTTTGTAAACATTTTCTTATTAATAGTTTGGATAAAAGTGGGCAAGAACTCCACCCATGCCTAATGGCTGATAGCAGCATTGCTGGGCATTGCTTGTCCCTGGGCTGTTTGTCCATTTCTCTAGTGAGTGGTGGGCTGGCTGGAGGTGGGTGTCTTCCAGAACAGGCCTTAATCTGACCTGAGGGGGTTACATAAGTCTTCTGAAACACTCCTTCAAGTTTCCCTACCTCTGGCAGTTACAATATGCTTCTTAAAAGGTGGGACTTTTGGGACTTTGGGAGCATCTGCATTGCAGGGAAGGCAACAGGTTTGTGAACCGCCTTCCAGCTCCACCAAACTCATTTTGAAGGTTTAGGGGCCTCAGAACACAGGGGCGGAGCTGTCCACCTGCTGAGAGCGGCCCTTGGTTGTTCTGGGTCTGGGAGAACATGTGGGGATCTGTCCCACTTTTGGCCCTGAGGATAGGTCCCCTGCCTGCTGCATCCAGGCCACAGACCCACCAAGCCCAGGTCTGGAGTGGGGCCCTCCTCAGACACCAGGACAGTGGAGACAGTCCTGCTGCCTGTCTGGGGGTGTTCCTGTCACTTGGCCAGCAGGCATCTCCCAGGAAATTCCGAGCCATCATGTCCACAAATCAACTTCCATTTGGTCCAAATACCCAGACCACTAATTTTATTTTGTTCCAAAGTATTTAAGGATGCTTATTTTCAGTGAGTGTTGACAAGAGGTGACTCCATGGCCCATGCTTGCTGTAACAGTGGCCCTCTGGTTTGCTGGGGGCTCCTCCAGGCCTGCAGCAGGTACTGACCGACCAGAAGGTGCCATTTTTTGTGAAAACAATAGCATTTGTAAAATTTGTTGTGCAGGTGTGGGAAAGCACACATTCTCCAAGCCAGCTGCAGTGGGTGCACTCTGTAGCTCTTCAGACCACCACTGTATTTCTCGTCATTAGCTGCTATTAATTTTTCCACTTGAAAAAAACAAATATATGCAAAAGATTTGCCACCCCCATTAGCATCATTGGGATTGAGTACTTTAAGAAAGTTGCTGGTAGGATGCTATCAAATAGAGAAGAAAGCAATGTGTCTCGCTGTTGTCAGGGTGGGGCCCCAGTTCACTAGCAGACTGCTCAGTGCCCAGGTGAAGTGCAGCCAATTGGTACAATGTGCATCCTTGAGACATGTACAGTGCTTGGACACCAGCAGGAACCGGGGAGGAGAAGAGGTCTGCCCCCTGCTCACATCCTTCCCTAGCCTCAGGGTCAGATATCACTATATAAAGCTGATTTTTCAGAAATAACTTCTGGTGGGTTAGCAGCAGGTGTGCATCAGAAACCCATGTCCCCATACATCTTCACAGCCTTCTTTGCAGAGGCTCCCTGATGGAAGTGTTTGGATGTCCCCCCAGAGCAACCCCTGAAGAGGGGCTAGAATCACACCCTCTGGAAACAAGAGGCCTCATGACTAGGGCTTAAGTCAGGAGCCTGTGAATCTCACCCTTTCAGTTTCCAAAAGGATCTCTCATTTGTAAAGGCCATGATCAATAATGGGGAAGTTATTTTTTGTGCTAATAAGCATCCCTCCCTGCTTTTATCTTTCCTATTTATACTGCATCAAAGGAGCAACTCCAGGTAACAGTGAGAGAATGACTCAGGGCTGGGAGCACTCCTGTGAGTGGCCATTGCTGGACTGGAAGTGCTCTGCTTGCTGGGAACCTCCTGTCTGCATGCTGCCACTGTCCTTCTGGATTTCCATTGCTTCTGTCTCTGTAGGAGGCGGAAACGTTGACACGGTGTTACAGGGGCCTTTGCCTGCAGCCTGACTGTCCCACCGGCTCTCTGTCTTCCAGCCACCAACCACAGCACATAATGGCCCAGATGATTTCCACAGAGAGGGAGTATGTCAGGTACTTAGGATATGTCATCAACAACTATTTTCCAGAAATGGAAAGAGCAGACCTGCCCCGGGACCTCCGTGGGAAGAGCCATGTCATCTTTGGGAACGAGGCAGAACTCCATGACTTCCAGGGCCAGCACTTCCTCATGGAGCTGGAGTGCTGTGGGCTCTGTCCACTGGCCGTGGGCCAGGGCTTCCTCAGACACGTGAGTCCCTCTGGGCTGCAGGGAACCCAGGGCCAAGAGAGTCGGAGCACTGCTGTCGGGGTTAGGCATGGGTCCCTAGGCACAGTAAGACTTGTGGCCCACAACAGGCAGGCAGCTGTGGGTCTAACAGCACTGGCCACACCCTGTACACATCGCCTGATGGCAGCCTTGTGGAGAGCCACAACCGCTGGGGTCTCGCCCACATCCTCATGCTTAGATCTGTACCCACCCTGCTCCCTCATGCCCAGGGCTAATTGGCTAAAGCAAGTCCCAATCAGCTTGCTTCCCATACCCAGGAAGCCCACTGGCCCCCTTCAGAACCCTTCCCAAAGTTCCCTGGGGCAAGGCCTGCCTAGTTCTGAGAATCTGGTGAGGACTCTTGACAGAAGCACATGGAATGTACATATTAACTGAGGGGCCTGTTTGCTCTCTCTTCAGCCACGAGTATGGACCGTCTCCCCATTAGGGTCTTTCACAAAATTCTTAATTCACTTTGGAAAGAAAATCCTTTCAGCAAATGCTTACCAAGCACTATTCTAGGCACAGGGACCCAGGGGGTCTGCACTGTGGGCAGATGAAACATTTGCCTCAGCACTTTTAAATAGAGATTCCACAAGGAAAACACCACAGATGAAATAAATCCCACAGGTTATGTCTTTTCAGCTAGTTTTTGAAAGACACTTGTAGTCATAAGGTGCAATTTCTGTATCTTTGGCAATAATTTCAAGAATTTTAAATGTTTGGACAACTTTGGCTCTTGAATCTTAGTAACATTTCAAAGCCCCCCATTCTGAACCCTCCCAGGCTTGCCCTCTTGCCCCTTCCCCCAAACTCCACTTTAAGACAATTCCACGACTTGGCATCAGGCCTGGGGCACTCCCACACCTTCAGGAGCTGAGTAGTCTTGATGCAAGTCCAAGCCTCCAGCCTCCTGCCTCCTGCCTCCTGCCTACAGCCTCCTGCCTCCTGCCTCCAGGCTCCAGCCTCCTACCTCCAGCCTCCTGCCTCCTGCCTCCAGGCTCCAGCCTCCTACCTTCAGCCTCCTGCCTCCAGCCTCCTGCCTCCAGGCTCCAGCCTCCTCCCTCCTGCCGCCAGGCTCCAGCCTCCTACCTCCTGCCTCCAGCCTCCTGCTTCCTGCCTTCAGCTTCCTGCCTCCTGCCTGCAGCCTCCAGCTTCCTGCCTTCAGCTTCCTGCCTCCTGCCTCCAGCCTCCTGCCTCCTGCCTCCAGCCTCCAGCCTCCTGCCTCCTGCCTCAAGGATCCAGCCTCCTGCTTCCTGCCTCCAGCCTCCTGCCTCCAGCCACCAGCCTCCTGCTTCCTGCCTCCTGCCTGCAGGCTCCAGCCTCCTGATTCCTGCCTTCAGCCTCCAGCCTCCTGCCTCCAGCCTTCTGCCTCCTGCCTCCAGCCTCATGCCTCCAGCCTCCTTCCTCTAGCCTCCTCCCTCCATCCTTTGGGAGAACTTTCATGAATGGCAGGGACAGCAGCGACTCCAACCCCACCAGGCTCAGGTGCCCTGTGTTCTCTTCTGCAGGAGGAACAGCTTGGCTTCTACGTGCTCTACAGCAAGAACAAGCCCCAGGCAGACGCCCTGCTCCACGGCCACGGCAACATCTTCTTCAAGGTCATCCCCCCTCCCCACGAACCGAGTCGCCCCCAGCCTGGTCGCACCTGACCCCCTCTCCTGCCCGTGCAGGACAAGCAGCAGGAGCTGGGTGACAAGATGGACCTGGACTCCTACCTGCTGAAGCCCATGCAGCGCATGGGTAAGTACGCGCTCCTGCTCCAGGACCCGGTCAAGGAGGCCGGCCTCTGCCCGGCCCAACAGCAGGAGCTGGGGGAACTTGGAGCCGCCAAGGACGTGGTCCGCTTCCAGCTGCACCACAACAATGATCTGCTCACCGTGGATGCCATCCGCGACTGTGACATAAGCATCCAAGGCCCTGATGGGCTCTCATGCGCTCAGGACTCTGGGCTGGTGCAGGGGAAAAACATGATCAGGGCCAAGAACACATGAACTTTCCTTCAGGAAAGTCCCCAAAACAGACACCTCCCAGAGGCCCCCCCAGAGACTCTACCAGAGGGGCAGGAGGGTGAGAGGAAGGACCCCAACGTCTGGGCCACTGGGGCAGTAGCTGCATGCTTGAAAAGCAGGCTGGCTGCAGACCAGACTTATTGGAGCTGTTTTAAATCAACTGGATGCATCGACATTTCAGCTGTACTGTGGGGCTTTGGGGGTGCTAAGGCCAATGCCCACACACTCCCATGGTGGCGTGGCAGGTCCAGCACATGAGGAAGAGGAGACTGCCCTCTCAGATGGGACCCCTTGTGTCTGCAGGTCAGAAGGCATGGATACAGAATTCCCCACACAGAATGAGAACACTATGCCTCGCTGAAACGGGGCTGACCTCAAGATGGAAGGCTGTGGGATAGACCTGCTGTTGTTTGGGATCCATCTCACAAGGGAGCAATTGCCTGGCAAGGGTGCAGAGACTGCAGACCCCCTCCCCCCACAGCATCAGCCCAGATGCTGCTCAGACGGGATCCTGGGGGTGAGGGAACTGCACTGACATGCGTGAAAGGGCTTTCACAGACCCTTTGTGTGAACCGGCAAGCACAGGAACCAGCTGAGGGTTCAGCATCCGGTTCCAGACCTAGTGTATAGGTTTTACCCTCACATCCAGGCAACTCTTGAACCCCAGCTGGATGTCCTATAATTCAACCCAGTTCTGACACCATCTCTTTGAGTCAGTGTCAGACCCCACAGGTTAAGGGCTCTGTCCCATGAGATTGCCCCCTACCCCACCCAGTCACAGGCTGGAGGTTCCAAAAACCCCCTCCTTAGGTTTGAGTAATTTGCTAGAGTGGCTCAGAGAACCTAGGGAAGCATTTTACTTCCTAGATTTACAGCTTATTGTAAGGGATGTAACTCAGGGGCCAGAGGGAAGAGCCGCACAGAGCTGGGCATGTGGGGAGGGCCGTGAGTCTCCACTGCCCTGGGTGCACCGGTCTGCACACTACAAGCCTGGCCTTTGGGGGTTTGGGGGAGGCTTCATTCCCAGGCAGGACTGATTGAGTCAGTGGCCATTGGGGATTGAACTCAAGTCTCAAGTCCCCTTCCCAGAAGCCAGGGTGGATGTAACAGCTGGAATCTAATCATCCCTGAGGGAGACTTGCTCTGTCTGCAGGTGAATTTGAAGGAACAGGGGCCACTGAGATGCCAGGATGCATTCATCATTTGCTGTGGAAGGAGAAAGTATTTGAGGCAAGTGCTCCCCTTTGAAGACCCCATTCTGTTCAGCAAAACCACAAAGGTGGGTGGGAACTACAACACCTACACATACAAGCAGTCCTTCAAGGGGTCCCTCCTCCCATGTGCCCAGTGCCACTGGGGGTCAGGCCTGGTCCACTGGAGACAAAGCAGGGAGCACGTGGTGTCTGCTGCTTGCTGTGGTGCTCTGGCTGTTTTTGAAAACCTCAGACCTCCCAAAGCTGCAGGGACATTCGCCCTTTCCAGTCCTGTGTGCTGGCTCAGGCTGGAAAACAAACATCTCCTCAGTCCGTGACTCCAGCCTGGATTTTGATCATGGTGAATGGAGGCGGCCTTCCCTCACCTGCCCCTCGCTGATGGAGGCTAAGGGTGAGGTCTCCTGCTCCCAGGCTCCTCCCAGGGAAGACCACCCCTGCGAGCCCTAACCTACCAGCACTGAGGGACATCACAGGGGTCCTGCAGCCCTGGGTGAGAGCCAGAGGACTCCATAGAGCCTTCCCATTCCACCATCATTTCTCCAGTGGGAAAATGGAGGCTCCAAGAGGGAGCCAATGCAGACGGGGGCACTCCACCCATCCCATGCATGGGAGCCCCTGGCCCAGCCTTGTCCACACCACCTGGTGTCTGCAAATCTCCAGCACTGACGCGCTGGGGTCAAACGGTCAGCCAGAATGTGGTCAGCTGCTCAAGGGAGGGCCTTGGAGTTCTTGACAGTGCTGCCCCTCGGGGCTTGTGATGCAGACAGCAGAGATCAGGATGATGGAGAATGTGGGTGACAGCAGTTTGAGGTTCAAGATCTGGTTCTACAGGTGGAAATCCCAGGACACCTACATTCTTCAGGCCAGCTCTGCGGAGGCCAAGACCACCTGGACCGACGTGATCAGGAAGATCCTGCGGCGGCAGGCGCTGAGGAACAGAGGTGGTGGGATGTCAGGGGGCTGGGCTTGTGGCAGGTTTAGACTAGGGTTTGGGGTGAGTGGGGGCAGGGTTTAGGCTGGACTTTGGTCTGCGCTTGGATCAGTGCTTGGGGCGGCTTTGCTCAGGAAGCACAATGGCCCCTACACCCCTTCCAGTGGGTCAGTCCTTTGCAGGAGCTGGAAGCTGTGGTACCTGGTGGGGTCTTCCTCCCCAGCCTCCCCTTCCCTTGCCCATACCCCTGCCCCACCTGGCTCTGATTATCGCCTTCCTTCCTCTGCTTGGGTCTCCAGGGGCCGCCTCGTCACCTGGGCTCATGGGCTCATGCCCATGGTCATCTGGTCACCTGGGCTCATGCCCCACCCAGCACTCAGCACACAGCATGTGTGCCTGGCCTGGGGGCCTCTGTCCCCAACTGTTCCCCTCTGTCTCCTGCTGTCCTCATTGTACCCCATTGTCCCTTCTAACCCCCTTTGTCCCCTAGTGCCTCTACCATTCCCTGCTGTTCCCAAGTCCCTCCATCTTCTGCTGTCCCTTGCTGTCCCCATTGACCCCCACCATTCTGTCTGTCCCCACTGCAGGCTGTACCTGCTGCCCAGCTCACCGCTCTTCACCAGCAGACAGGGTATTTCCCCTTCTCTCCCACTGGATACCAAGTCTCCGAGGCCCCTCACCTTTCTCTTGGTCCCTGAAAAGGGCCACTGTGAGGCCAGGTTGGAGGCACTGCCACCTCTAGGCCCCAAGAACACTCAGGGAGCAGGGCCGGCCAACCTGACATGCGCCTGGCCTAACGATTCTGGGTGTAGAGCATCATCGGCGGCATCGTACTCAATGAACTGCTTGGGGAATGGGCCATATTCTTTCATCTTAGAACTCAGAATGCAGGAGGTGGTGTGTATGGGGATGGGCAACAAGCTGTTTGTGGACATCAAGCCCAGCGATGCAACCAGAAGTGACCAGGCTGCCAACTACATCACGAAGGAGACAGGTGAGGTGACTTGGCCCTCACTCTCACCCTGCCTGCCCACTCAGACCCAGGCCCCACATGTCTGGTGGGCCCTGTGGGCCAGCGGGAGGGTGGACGGTAAGGTCCACACCATGCCTGGGTGACCCCAGGGAGAGGAAGTTGGCCGGTGCTCTGGATGGGACTCTCATTCTTGAATCTGGCTGCGCTTCTGGAGCAGAGGCCAGACTCACGTGTTTTCTGTCCTCTCCAGAGTCACAGACCCAAATGTCCACAGCTGTGCCTGCTCCCGGTGGCCAGGCCGCCCCCTTCAAGAGGCCACATTCCACCATCTCAGAGAGCAGCACATCCTCCTGCAGCAGCCAGCCCTCCACCTGAGGGCCATGGCGCCTGCATGGACCCCGCTGCCCAGCCCACGCGGGAACGCTGAGCCCCACCCACTGCCACTGGCCATGTGACATTCCCACCTGCATCGAGGAGGACAAGCAGGAGCAGGGGGCAGGGAGTCAGCCTTCCACATGTGAGTACATTTGCACGTGGGAGCCATGCACACTCAGCTTCCCGCAGCTGGTTTGGGTGAGGATGCCCACACATTCATTTCTTTCTTTTTTGTGTTATGTACTTCCAAAAGTTTTCAAACAATTTAGAATTTCTCTTTTATAAAAACAAAAAACTTCCAGTTTCATCCAAGATGTGTAACAGGGAACAGATTTAAAACAAAGACCAGACAAAACAAGACATAAGCAGACAAAAGATATGAAACAAGAGGTTTTAAGGCCTGGACATCCAGCATCAAAGGACAGGAAGGCAGGAGAGCCCTGCAGCTGTGCTGATTTCCTCCGTGAGAGTCCCCAGGGCCTGTGCGGGGATGAGGGACCGGGAGGGGCCCGGCAGGCTGCCCGAGCTGAGATGAGCAAAGGTGGCTGGGCTTGCAGGACTGAGCAGAGGCCTGTGCAGAGCGGGAGGCCACACGAGGATGGAGCCTTTAGCGGAACTGGAGCACTCCCCTGTGCTCATGTGATGCCTGATGGAACCCTGGAAACTCGCAGGACACAGGGCGGCCACAGGGGGACCCAGTACTGCCCAGACCCACCCTCCAACCACACCCTGAGGATCCAGCTGTTCTCGGGTAACCTAACTATGTCCCAGAACAAAGCACCAGGAAATTTATACGACGACAATATCCCACACCCAACACAGAGAATTCCCATTGCCAGACATCCAGAGACAGGCCTGCAACAAAGCAGGAAGCATAAACCATAACGAGGAGAATGATTGGTCAAGTAAAACCAGCCCAGAGCGATATGGTACTGTCAGCTGTGGGTTGTTCTGTGTCCCTGATATCCACAAAGTTAAATAGGACAGGGTGGATACAAAACGATACCCAGGCTGAACTTAGAGGGGTAGAAGACCACAGCATCTAAGATGAAATGCATAGGAGTTAAGTCAGCAGAGGAAATTATCTGAACTAAAGGCATGTCAGTAGCAACTGTCCCAAAAGGAACACGGGGTCAAAAGAACATCAGTGGGCTACAGGACAACACCAAGCAGCCTGATAAATGTGTAATTAGAGTTCCCAAATTGGGGTCAACACAATTTTAAAGGAACAATGGCTGAATACTTCCCTAATTTGACAAAACTACAAACGCACAGCCCTGGAAGATGTGTGAACCCCAAAAACAGACATAACCAGACTGCATGGCGCCAGTGGCAGGCAAGAGCTCCCGAAGGTAACCAGAGGAAAATGGCAGGCTCTGTACAGGTGAGTGGTTGGGGGTGGCTGCAGGTCCCCCACTGGGAGCAGGACGGCATCTCATCTGTGACAGCCTAAAAGAAGAAGCTGTCAAACTAGAATTCGTACCTGACAAAAGTGTCTTTCAAAAATGGTGAAATAAAGTCATTTCAAGCATGCAGAAGCTACAACGACTGCACATGAGCAGGCTGAAACATTCAAGGGCCTCTTCAGGGACAGGGAAACTGCTGACAGATAGGAGGCCTGTGCATAACAGAGTGTGGGGCACCAGGCTTCTCCATCATCTGGATCTGCAGAAGACAGGCAGCTGCCACATATATGGAAAACACAAACATGACAGCATTGGACTTGAGGTTTATCACACGTGTGGGCAAGACCAGTGACATGGCAGCATATGGCAGGAGGGTTGGAGGAAGGTTTCTGGATGGGTGAAATTACCCCACAAGCACCACGGAAATAACAAAACCAAGATTCGGCAAATGCAACACCAGAGCAGCTGAGGTGGGTTCATCAGAGAAGCTCAGTCCGAAAGCTCACAGGAAAGAGAAGTAGTGAGGAGCGGAGGGCTAACCAGGAAGGGGCCTGGGGTGGCCGCACACAATCACATCAATGCAAATGAGGACAAGGGTGCTCCTGCAGGCTTCGAGCCTCACGGTGCGCACAAGGCCAGAGCTGTCACCCTGCACTTGGGGAGTAGTTGCTTTGTCAGTCATTTCCCAATTGAGCAGCATCTTGTATAAGCACAAGCAAGCACACATCCCCATGGAGATAGAGCGGACATGCACACAGAACCACGGGGGCTTGTTTTCTCACCCCCTGCAAGTGGACAGTAGGCAGGCATGGTGTGGACAACCTCAGTTTCTGGTGACCCCCCAGGACACCCATTCCATAAACAGGCCCATCCCTAGGTGATAGTGCCAGGCCAGGTGCCCACTCAAGCCCAGAATGTGCCATTGCTACCATGAAAACATCTCTGAGGCATCACCTGACCACAAAGGTGTCTGTGTATGGGCCGAAGCATCGGGTGAGACCTACTTGGGGCGCCTAGGTGCTGTGTGCAACCTTGGGCTGCCCTCCCCACCCACACCCCAGGTCTGGGCTGATGCCCTGGGAAGGTCTGCATGGAGCAAGGCTGGGCATGTGCCAGCATTGCCAGCCCAGAGCGGTGACACTCTCCCAGAGGTGATGGAGGTGGCTCGCACCTGGGCTGGCAGGTGGGCTCTGCCTTCCCCCATCACAGAGCCAGAACTACAGACTTGGGGAAGGTATATCTTCACAAGCTCAGCTCAGCCATCCTGCACTAGGGTAGAAACAGCACCTTATCCCCACAGAGCAGCAAGCAGGCAGGCACCAGCTGGGCACATGGGGGGTGTGACTGCACCAGTTAGGCTTGACCCCATGCCTGGACCCTGAGGCTACGCTTGGCCCAGGGTGACGCAGGACAGCCCCTGCAGTGGAGACTGTGCAGAGGCTGCTCCTGCCCTGCCTGGTGCAGCTTCTGTTTACACCCTGAAGTCCTCACTTGGCCTAATTTTCTGTCTCCCTTTTGACCTGCACATCCTGGCCTGTGAGCTGGAGGCTTCCTGATGGTGGAGAGGTCTCCTGAGCACCTCTCCCCGGGCCTTAAATCCCACAGGCCTGCTCTGTTGCAGATGGACAGGCTAGGGACCTGTTCATAAGCACAGCAGTGCCAGACTCCTAGCTGTCTGTCCTTTCTGCTTAGAGCCAGCCTTACAGGTTGTCACATCATAAATCTGCATGCCGAGCAGGAAATACCTCATTCCCAATTTAAGAGCTTCAGGGGCCCCTGACTGGTGGGCACGATGGGTGGGAGGGGCAGCTAGGCACTGGAGGGTGGCAAGCCGATGGTCCAATCCTGAAGTGGCTTTTCTTCTCAGGGACCAGGTCCACACAGAGCATCTTGGGGGACAGCAGCCCCATCCTCCCAGGGGCTTTTCTCTAACAAGGACCCCAGTGTGCCTCCCCCCAGTCTTCCACAGAGGGGCTCACATCTGCCACTCAGCAGAGGCCAGGTCACCAGAATCGTGAGTACCTTCTGAGACCCCTACGCAAGAGGCCCAGGTGGGGCTGGGATGGGGCCCCATGCGTGCCAAATGATGCTGGGTCTCCCTGGGCCACACAGACCCCTGGGGACTGGCTCCTCACCCACACCTCCATGCCAGGTGCCCAGCAAGCTTGGCTGTGGAACCAAAGGTCTGGCGCCATGCTGGGTGCCACTGAATAGCAGAGACCTGGGGTCTTCTCCAGGCATTGATTCTACCCACCACGCAGAGGCCTGCACCCATGCCATCGGCCACGTCCCAGGCAGGTGGTGTGGGTCCCAGGCAGGTGGTGTGGGCTCTGGCTTCCTCATCAGAGCCCCACATCCTGGGTGGAGGGCTGGCGGTCAGTGGGCAGTTGCTGAACCCAGCCCTGTGAGATGTCAGCTGGATGCCACTGCTGCTGAGGGTCAGGTTTCTGCCTAGAGTAGGGCCCCTCTGGCAAGTGTGCAAATCCCACCCTCCCTAGGGCTGATACAAAATGTGCTTTCACCTTGGGGAGTTGGGATGGCCAGGGGTCTGCCCCCACCTGTTGCAGGGAGAACAGGAGGCTCCAGACACCACCCTAGATGTACACGTGGAAACACGGTCCCTTGAGAGAGCCTGAGGCGACCTGGGAAAGGGGCCAATCAGACAGGAAACCACAAGCCATCTCCTTCAAAGAGACCTTCTCAGAGCCTCAGCCAGCCCCCACCCACCCCTGGTCATGGACACCTTCACTCTGCAAGAGCAATCCCCGCCTCTGGGAAACACCCCCACATGCCTGCCTGGGCAGCACCAGAAGGGAAGGCCCAATCTTGAGGGTGTGTTGAGCCTAGAGTCCGATGACCGGGCCCTTAGGGCACATCCTCTAGGTCACTCCTGATGGCCAGTGACCCCAGTTCTGATTGGTGACTCCCTCCCCTTCCAGCAGATCAAAACCACCCATGACTTAGGATCCTGGACTGTGGTTTGATGGGCCGGCAAAGCACACCCTGAGAGTGACAGGCTTTCCAGGCAACCCCCAAGTAATGGGGCCTCCCACTTGCTGTCACTGCCCAGGCTTCCTCAGATGCTTCCATGGCACAGCTGCCCCACCAGGACAGATGTTACAGCATGGAGGGGAGGTACCTGGCCAGGAGACTGCTCCCCTGCTCCCCAACCCCTACTGACCTCCCTAGGTTCTTGCTGCCTGAACCCCCTGCTAACCAGCATATCCAAGAGGGCAGAGCACATATTCTTGGAGCACCGCTCAGCCAGGAGCAGCTCCTAGGGGACGAAGTGCCCTCTCCTTCCAGACGGGGTTTCCCTGACACCTGTGTGTGCCCCGGGGCATGGCACCCAGCCAACAGGGGCTCTGAAGTCAGCAGAGCCACAGCATGGCACAACAGTTTCCACACATACCACAAATCCACATCACAGCAGTCACATAGCAGAGCCATGGCCCACTGGCCGGGCAAGTCCAGCAGGTTCTCAGGGCCTGGATGTTCTGGGCATGGAGCTGGGGAGGCACAAAGGACATCAAGCAACACAGCAGCAGCCCTACCGCTGCCATGCCCACCAGCTCCATCCTGCACATCCTGTCCTGTGGGCTCCAGCCACCCCACTGCCCCCCAAGGCCAAGCTTACACAGACCACCTCCACGTGCGTACATGGGTCGGAGATCAAGTTCCAAGTCTGCATGTCAGTGTGGACTCCAGGTGCCTGTAAAATAATGAGACTGTTTTACACAAACCACATTTCAAATCATCTAAGTTCCTTCAGCTCACACGAGTGGCTGCTCCTGAGACACGCGCAAATGCACTTTACACACCCATGTTTCAGGACTGCAACAGCAAGCAGAACTGACATGTTTCAAGGCCAAACCTTTTTACCCACAGGCCCCGCGTGCTGGCTGGGGGGTCCACCAGGGCAACCGCACATGGGTGTCTGTCCAGGGAAGTCAACCATGCAGAGGACACCGTTTCCACTGGCCTGGCCTCAGCTGCTGCCTTTTTAAAGGAACCTGTTGGGATTCTGAGAGCACCTTGTGGGCACCCTGGCCACACAAGGCCTCTGCTGTCCCAGGTGGGGCAGGGCTGGCGGGGTCCAGCAGGTGGAGCAGTTCATTCTTTTGAGTCTGTGATGGATGCTTCTCTGTAGGGAGAGTCCCAGTCACAGAGGGAGGAACCACCAGCAGACTTGTGCCCAAAGAAGCAGGACACCCCCCATGCCCACTCAGCAGCCTGGAGGTCACATGCCTTGGGTCCCACCTGCCTGGGCATTGCCCAGCCTTCCTCCCACCTGCCTGCCCAGCTCCTCCTGCCCCCACGAGACCCCCAGGCCCATGCTGCCCTGGCCTCCCACATACCCTAGCCCCGCCAGAGTGGAAGCACATGGACTGCCCCAGTGTGCAGGGGCCCAGGCAGGTGGGGGCATCTCAGCAACCTTCCTGGCAACATGGCCTGGTGGGTGAGGATCACAGCAGCCCCTCCAAGGTGTGTCCTGGCACAGGTACCTCTGAGTGCAGCTGGAAGTTCGATTCCATTTCCTTTTTAACTGGGTGCACTGCTAGTGAGGGGCTGAGGCCACAGGTTGTGAGGTGGGACCCCGGCTGTGACAGGGACGTGGCCAATGGGATGGTGCCCTCGTGGAAGGAGGTGACATTGTGCCAAGGAGAGCTCTGCACCTGCGGAGGAAGAATTCGTGTGTGGTCTGCTGGTAACAGTTTCTTTGTTACTTTGTTTCAAGGATGGCATGTTCCAAAGTTTAGGAACATAAATAAATGGGACTTACTTTCCCATGACCTGGTTGTGCTTCTCTTACTTGGTCTGTGGGATCCAGGATGTCACCTATGCACCCCACCCAGGGAGCCAGCTCCTGCCACCCTGAGGGGAAGTGGCCCTGTGACTAACTCTGGGGTCTGCCCAGTCTAGACCCACATCCATGCCACTCACCCTCAAGTGATGTCAGGGGCAAAGTCCCACAGGCTCATGCACACAGCTCACCTGCCTGACAACATGGGTTTCAGCCCTTCCCCCCAGGGACTGCAGGGAGGGCAAGCCCTTGGGCACCAGTGGGTGGCAGCCCATCCGGCACATCCATGGGCCCACTCCCTCCTCTTCTCACATAGCCTCTCTGTCTCTGTCTCCCTCTGTCTCCATCTTTTTCTCTGTCTTTCTGCCTCTCTCTGTCTCTCTGTCTCCCTCTGTCTCTCTATCTCTGTCTCCCTCTGTCTGTCTCTGTCTCTGTCTCCCTCTGTCCCAGCCATGACCCCCAAGACCAGCATGGCCCTGCTGGCCTGTGAGCTAAATGCCCAGCCCTGCCCTCAGCAGTGATGTTGGCAATGGTGTCTGGTCATGAGATAATCATTTGACACCCATGAGTACTGGGCGCCACTGGAAGAATTTTTTTACTCCTCTTAGGTCTAAGCTGGGGCTCTGTAACAAAAAACAGATTAACAAGAGAAAAGCATACAATTTATTTCATGTAAGTTGTGCATGCAATGGGAGCCCCCATAAGCAAATAAGGACCTGAAGAAGTGGGCGGCCCAGGGGTTTCTGTACTAGGAGAAGTGAAGAGGCAGTTGTGGAAACAAAGTCCCACCGAGGAGTCTGTCAGCACAGAGCTCCAGGCCCGCCTCTGGTGACAACGCTTCTTTCTTCCCGATACAGTGGTACGGGGGCAGGACTCTCACTGGAGTTTCTGCTCCTGTTTGGGACGAAGAGAGGGTCAGTGCCCTTATGCTTGCTGCTTCTCAAGAACCCTCAGCTCAAAATGATCCTGGCACCAAGCAGCATACATCAGGCGCTGGGTTCTGCCACCCTGCAGACACCACATGGTGGACTGTCACATCTCACCTGCTGCCAGGTCCTGAGAGCAGATAAGGAGATGGACTCAAAAGATAGGCAGACCCTTGGGCTGGTGGCAGCTCTGAGCTCGGCCCCTCCCAGCCCAACAGGATGCATTGCGTGTCCTCCCAGCTCACTCCGGCTATGGTTCCTCCCATGGAAGGTGGGGAAGCCAGAGAGTGCCCAGGTCCTCAAGGAAGATAGAGGAAGAGGAGGGAGGAAGCAAATGGAAGAAACAGTTGTCAGTAGAGCCATCCCCATTCCTGGTACCACATCGCCAGGGCCCAGACAAGTCAAGGGTGGGTGTCCATCCCTGGGGCCCCTGATGAAGTTTGTGGCCCAGGGCCTGACTTCATTCTCCATGGAGAGTCCCAGACATGTTCCACCCTGGGTGCAGCAGACCCCCCCAGCCCAGCTAAGCACAAGGGACAGGGTGGTCACCTCCTGACAGCCCTGCGGCCAGAGCCAAACAGGCACCCAGGACCAAAATAGCCATCAGATGACTGCAGCGCTGGCTGGTGCCTTCTGCCCAAAAGCAAGCAGCTTGAGCAGATGCAGCTAAAATTAGCGAGAAGGGTACATGCCCCTTGGAGAAGGAGGAGGAGGGAGGCCAAAGACAAACAGGATGAGGTTGCTGCGTTCCTGTTCTGCTGAGGCCATGCTGTCCCAGCCCCAGGTGGCCCAGTGGAGCCTGGAAGCTGTGGCCCACAGCGTCTACCTGCTCCTGTTCAAAGCCAGCTACTTTCTGAAGCAGGCAGAGGTGATCCGTGTTCTTCTGGGGCACTGGCCACTGGAGGAATTCAGGCTGAGTGCCCTGCTGGGGCCCAGCACAGAGCATCCAGTGGACCTGCGGGACCGGGCCTGCCAGGCCTGCCTGGAGGCCTCTGTGCAGGGCCTCTCAGATGATGTGCTCCAGGCCAAAAGCTGGAGGCGGCTGCAAATGCCAACCTCACAGGAGTCCAAGATGTGCAGGTGCAGCAGTGCCCCTGTGGGAGGGTGCTGGGCAGGTGGGGTTGCATGGAGCTGCTGTGCAGGACCTGCTGCCAGCTGCAGACAGAGCCCTGCACAGCCCAGAGGCCCATCCAGGTCCTTGCTGATCTCTTTGTCACTGATGGCAACTTCAAGGTGGTGGTGCAGGCCCTGGGGCCAATAGGCCCCACTCCCCTGCAGCTGCACTGCCTCTCCTTCAGGGCGGACAGCCTGGACCCTGGCCAGCTCCTACATGTGCTGTGTCTGGCAGGGCCCCAGGAGCTGCACAGGCTTAAAGTGGTACACAATGTGTGGCTGCATGCAGGCCACGTGCAGCAGCTGCTGCCCAGGTGGGCCTCCCCTGGCTGGTCTCACTCACCTTGCCTGCCAAGGCCTTCAACCCTCCCCCTGGTAGCCCCCCAGCCCCTGACGGTGAGGACCCCTTCTTCACCCCTATCTCCTGGGATCTCAGCCAAATGAGCCAGCTCACTGAGCTGAGTGTGGCCTTCTCCACACTGACAGGGAAGATCCAGAAACTGCTTGGGTGAGTCTGGAGTGATAGCACGGACAGCCCCCAGCATCTCAGTGGGGTCAGGCTCACACAGGGCCTCCTGGGCAGGTTGAGGATGCACTGAGGGGCCATAAAATGGTACCTGGCCATGAGGCGGGGTTAGGTGGGTATCTCAGCCTGGCACACACCAAGAGGCCAAAAAGGGGCAGGTGTTTAGCATGAACCACACTATTCATACAGACAAGTGGGTCAGAGATGCCGCCCAAATCCAAACTCCCAGACACAGGCTTCCTAGGCTTGGCTGTCAGGCCTGTTCCCTCGACCCTTTTATGAATGCAGATTCAAGGTGCAGGTATGAGTGGGGCAGGTGGGAGAAGTGCTCAGCCCCAGGCCTGATGTGGATGAGAGTTGGTGGGGTTTCCTTGTGGGTGGAGGAGGGGGTAGGAAAGATGCACGTAGGAACGTTTTCCACCATGCAGGGCTGGGCAAGGCTGCAGAGAGCTCGCTGTGGGGTAGATGCCAGGGGCTCCATGCAGGGTACAGGGGTGAGAGGTGGGCAGGAGGCTATCTCAACAGGAGGATGTGGGACAGACCTCAGGACTCTGGACCTCCTCTTCATTGAGCACTCAGCCAAGTGACACCAGACCCTGGCCCAGTGTGCTGGAGGGCAGGGGACCAAGCAAGTACCCAGATAGGGGTGCCACTCCTCACCAGCCAGAGCAGAGCCTCACCCCCCAAGCTGTGCATTTACTGGTGCCGGCTGCCCACCCCACCAGCATCAGGACTCAGCGGGGTCCCAGGCAAGGCTGAGGCTGGGCTAGATGGCTCCAAGGCCCTTCCTGCCCTAAAACTGTGGGCTTCCTCTCTCCACTCAGAGGGAAACCAGTGTTTCAGTCCCTGCCAAGCCACACATCTCCCCCTCCAGCAGACATGGAACGCTCGGCAGGGAGCCAAACATGTCCCCACACTCAGAGCCCGTGGCTCATTGACAAGATGGATCTGCCATTCTAGCCGCTGAGGACAAAGCCAGGCCTGTTTTCAGGTGAAGGTGATTCTTCACCCACAGGGCAACACAGTCTCAATGCCTCGGCCCTCCCACTGGAGCCACAGGGCAGCCACAGCAGCCTGTAATGAATAAGTGTGGCTGTGTTCCTATAATGCTTTACCTATGGACCCTGGCATGGGAATTTCATATAATTTTCACCTGTCACTAAGTATTTTTTTAATTTTTTCAGCTATTTAAAGGTGTAAAAACCATTTCAGCTCTCAGACTGAGCTAAGGCAGTGGGTGGATTTGGCCCAGAGGCTGTAGTCTGCTGGCCTCTGAGACAGGCTCAATCGGTCTGCACCCAGAGTCCCTCTCACCTGTGCTGTCTTCTCCCAGAAACCTAGGAACCCCTCTGAGAGTGCTGGACCTGGCCAATTGCTCCCTGAACCACGCGGACATGGCCTTCCTGGCGGCCTGCACCCACACCACCCACCTGGAGGTGCTGGACCTCAGTGGGCACAGCCTTGTTGAACTGTTCCCCTACACCTCCAGGCTGCTGGGCTGGGCCGCCCCGACATGGAGGGTCAGATGCTGGAGGAGTGCAGCATCCGAGACAATCACGTGGACACACTGGGGCTGGCACTGAACCCCTGCTGCAGGCTCCGTGAGCTCTGGTTCCTGGGGAACCTGCTGTCGGCTGTTGCCCTGAGGTGCCTCTTTGCCACTCTCTGTGAGCTCCCGGAGCTGCAGTGCATAGAAGTCCTGGTTCCCAAGGGCTGCTACACTGAGAGTGCCACCTACCCCCAGGATGAGCTGGCCATGTCCAAATTCAACCAGCAAAAATATGATGAGATTGCCAGGGACCTGCATGCACTGCTGCTGCGGGCCGGCAGGGATGACATCCGGGCCTGCACCCCAGTCTTCCGAAGCTTTGACCCAGACATTCAAGAAACGAGCAATGAACTTGGAATGTTCTTGCTGCAAACTTTCAAAAGTGCTCTGGAGAACTCCAGAGCACTGGAGCAGATGGAGTAGGGCCTTGCACAGGCCAGGGCAAGTCTCACACCTCAGCTGCCAGGTGGCCTGGGCCGCACATCTGCTCCAAAGCATTACTTAATGAATGCTGCACACAGCATCCATTAGGTGCCAGCACAGAAGAAGCCCTGGCTTCCAGGAGTCACCTGAGACCACTTTAGCATGAGGGCAACTCGCAGCCAAGCCCTGGAGTGGGAATGCTGAGGGGTCAGCAGGAGCACCCCACACAGACGTGGGCATCAGAGAAGCATTGAGAACCAAAGGTCAGCATGGGGTGGGTGCTCAGAGGGTGGCCAGTGCGAGGCTAGCAGGAGGCAGGAGGATCAGTGCCGGCCCATCACAGGACTTGGCTGGGCTGAGCAGAGGGAGGGGCAAGGAATGACCAGATTGCATACCTGGCAGCCTCGCCAGCAGGTGTGGGAGGCAGTGATGTGTTTGCACACTTAAAAGCTCCAGTCCAGCACGGAACAAGGGATTTGGTTTTTAATGGTTCCTGTCTGATCTTGGAAGGCGTGAGAAGCAGGCTTGGGCTCTGCTGGCACAAGGCTGAGCCTTATGGCGCAGGGTGGCTTCTGTCCCTGGATGGAAGACAGTAACTGTGAGGACACTACCCCCCATCTCCCACCTCCAACAGGACCCAGACCCTCTACTCAGGCCCAGAGGAGTCTCCTGCATGGTTATTTGAGTCCTAGCACTTGAAGGGTGGTTAATTTCAATACTGAGATTTGGTTTCTACCAAGATCTGACTTGTGAAGGGTTGAGCATTATGATGATTACATACTAATAAAACAGGTGGTGCCTTATTCAGCTGTGGATTTAATTTCAATGCAATTCAGAATTTTTAAAAGGACCCGAGTCTGAAAACAGTGTTTTCTGAAGGTAAAGGCCAGCTCTTGATGGGGCCAACCCCTCACCCGAACCACTGCAGCAGAGGTGGTCTTCGTGTGTGCATGTGGTGTCCCGCCAGGACACCAGTGCAGGGCACGTGAGCAGTGCAGCAGTGCGCCTGGCCTCTGGCCTTTCTCCACTGTGCCCATTCCCTTAGGCCACCCCAAGGTCTTGCCTTCTCACGGCCGTGAGGTGCTGGGCACCCACTAAGGTCTTGGAGGGGGCTGCCTGGGGCGTGTGAAGGGCTCACATGAATTGGTGTTCCAATTCTCAGGCTCCCCACTGATGTCCCATCCAGGCTCAGGCCCCAACTCTTCGGCATCACAACTCTGGTGTGTGACTCATCAAGGCTTTTGGTGCACTGCTTGCCATCCGTCACCCTCACGAGAGGCTTGGTTTCCCTGAGGACTGCAGGAGGCCACTGCCTGCAGAGCTACCACAGAGGCCCGTGGCTCCCTCTGCACACCTGCAGGGAGGGTCGGCTTACGAGTCCTTTTCTTTTCTCAAGATTTTCTGTGAGGCTAACAAAAGACACCCCCATTTTTCCCACTCCCACTCCATTGAAATGCCCAGCATTGTTTAACCCAGGGGTTCCCAGGCTCTGCCTCACTCAGGAGAACCGTCGGGACAGAAGCTCAGGAGTGGTTCTGACCCTGAGACCCAAGAAGAGCAGGCTGTTTGCAGGGAGAGATCAGAACACATGCTGAGCTGGGAGCCAGGAGGCCCACTGCCCCAGAGTCCCTGGTGGCTGTTTATTCACCATTCCTGGTTCCTCTCTGAAGTCTGGCCTTTATTCTCCATTATCACCCTGAGGCTCCATCAGCCTTAAAATAAACCCCCTTGTAAAGTAGCTTGAACTGATGAATTCTGAGCTAGCTTGACTTGATCTCTGTTGCTCACAACCAGGGTCCTAATGTAGAGAGAATCAGAGTGGCTGTTTCTGTCATTCCTAGGATGGATGAGAGTTCTTCTGGCATAAGCCCCTGGAACCCAGTTCAGACATGTTGGGAGGACCTGTCTCGGGTGGACCAGGCCCGCCAGCAGGCCCATCTAGCTGGCCTCCAAAGCTGAGCTGCAAGGTCCAGCAGGACCCAGGAGGGTGCATTTCCACCCACAGTACCACATCTGCTGTGCCCATGGCCGTCCCTCATGCTTGGTCACGAGACACCCAGACCTTTATTAGTTGTACACTTATCACAGATTTGCTTTTATGCAGTAAGACTGAGACAAAGCCGCTAATCAGAAAGCCTTTCCTCTCCTGAGATGATCTCAGTAAATTATTCAGCTATTAGACTTCTTTAAAAATTCAGCCTGGAATGCATAGCTACACATTGTAATTAGATACTTTTCTCTTTTCAAGAACACAGTTTTTTTGGTGATGTTTCTTCTCTGTCATAATATCATATCCTTGGTACAGTGTTTGCAATTATTTTGTTATCATTAAATCAACACTATATTCCAATCTATATACATATATATATATTACACAGAGAAATACATGTAAGAGTTCTATAGCTATCCCTATGAATTTTAACAAGGGGAAAAAGGCTATTGAACAGATGAATTGACTATATCAACTCACACAGTAATAGCCTGCTCCTCATTTTATTTTTGGAACGTCCAGGTCAATCCTGATACCTTCTAACTTTACTCCAAAATAGAGCACCTGAAATAGGTACTTCCACAGGAAGCCCAATTAGAAAACAAAATCTGTCCCCTGCCCCCTGCCCTAAAGCCCTTCCAAGCCACTGCAACCTCATCCACAGTGTTACATTACCAAATCAATCAAGAACACACCCCCAAGCAATGGCAACCTCTCTCTACAGCAGAAAAGGCTCCTTCCAGGGGTGAGGACCTGTCTCCTCCAGGATCCTGTACCCCAGAGCACTCTCCTCACCTTGGGGCTCAAGGTTTCGGTTTCTGAGACTTCAGGGAAGGGAGGGAAAATAATGTTTTACACTAAAGTCCTTGTAAATTCTTCACACACATCAAATAGCTCTTGGGCTCCGAGTCTTTGTCCTAATTATACAAACCATTTTAGCTCAGTACTGTTCCACTACAATCTCACTTTATCCAGACTCCTCTTGGGACCCCTGTGAAATCATTACAACATGCAAACATTCCAAAACTAATAAAATCATTTTTAAAAGGAAGAATGGCATCAAATTAACCCTAATTAAACTTGCTAATGGAAGACAGCCATGCCACACAAATACAAACTCTGCCCAGTATCATTTTCTATAGAAAACTGGTCTTCCTGCAGTCTCAAGCCAGTATCTAAACTGATTTGAATGATCTGAATATGCTTATCTGGCTATTCAAGGAGGCTACACTGAAGCATGCTGGACATTAGAAAATAGGGTAAGAGTTAACAATTTACCTTGAAAATCATTTAAATTCATTTACTAAATGGCTGGCTGTATTTTAAAGACAAAAACAATAGAAAAGCATTAAGTGGGTTATCCAAGCCCAATCAGTGGCATGACAGGAACTAGAATACATCCCACTCTAAGCAAGGGTGTAAACCTCCAGGAAATACCACCAGAGAAATTTTTAGTCCATATTTACCTGAAGAAATTATGCTCAGATCAAGTGGTGGCAGCGCAGCAGGAAGACGGCACTCCAAGCCACGAGAAGCGTTCTGAGCAGAGGCCCCAGAACGTATTGGGTGACTTATTTCAGCTCCCTTACCTGGCTCCCTGATCTCTAAAATGGCACCAAAGGTTGAAAACACGTGCAAGCATGAATTATGTAAGCTTCAGTGTGTGATACTCAACAAACAACCTCTAATCATTACTACCCCATAATTAAACTGGTTTCCTTTAAGTTTAGTATTTTAGAAGTGTATATTACCATATAGACAGGATTCAAAAGCAGATGGACCTTCCCCCAGTCACTGCTAGACCGCCCAACAACTGCATGGAGGGCACCAGCATTCTGGAGCCAAACTGCCTGGGCTCATCCCGGCCCACATTACCCGCATGACTTCACCAGGCTGGCTTTCCCTCACCTGCTCTACTTCCTTCATCCCTGTACAATGAGGGTGTGCAGAAGAGATCACATGGAAGGCCTGACACTGAAGTCCTTTCAAAGGCCTGCTCACCAGGCTGACTCTTGGCTGGCCTCTGGGAACCTGGATTTTGGGAGGGCTCCCACCACCATTAAACTAGTCAGAGAAGGTTGCAGTGCCTCAACTTTGTGCTAAGAGCTTAGAAGCCCTGCTTTCCTTCTGGGAGTTTAGAACTGGGTATGTGCCAGGCAGAGGGCGCCTGCATGCCAGCCCTCCATGGAAGCCCTGGGTGCTGCTCAGCAACATGTCCCATGCATCCTCGAGACTTGTCACCGGGGGAGCCAGTGGATCTTGGGGGGCTGCATGGGAGGGGACTCTGCAGGCCGGGTCCCCTCCCTCTGCCCTATGTGCCTTCTCCCTTTTGATTCTGCTTTGGACCTTCCCACATAACACACCTTAGCTGTGGAGCAACTAACCCTCCGAGACTTCCCAGCACATCATCCATCTGAAGAATGGGCTGGGGGGCCCCTGACCCGAGGGTAGTAGCAATCTGTACTGACTGCCTAAGGTCAGGACTAGGACGTAAAGCGCAGTAAAGCCCGATTCACAGCAGCTTCATGAACAATGGGGCCACAGGGGCCTGCCCACCTTTTAGTTTGTGGTAAGAATTCAGATGTACGCAATAACGTTTTGCAAATAATAAAGAATGACACACATAAAAAGCACTGATACTTTTAAATGGCAATGCTTTTTTATTGTCACTGCTAATAAATACTATCTGCTTACTGAATACAGACACAAGCCAAATTCCAAAAACACTAGGGTATCAATACTAGAAACACATTTTTTCCCCTTTGCAGGGAAAGCTCTTCAAAACAATATAAATCCTTGATACTTTCTATTGTCATCTGTTAGGCAGTTTTATCCATTACTGACAAAAGCTAAATGTAATTTTAGGAGAGAGAAAGAATTTGAGGAGAAAACAATTTAGGGGGTGATGAAAACAGAATATTACTTTAACAGTGAAGATCTGTATTTGACTTTTTTAAAAAACAATTTACCATAGAGCTAAAATAGGACATTATACTGTTCCACTCAGTAA